CTTGCCTTTTTTTTTTTTTTTTTTTTTTTTTTTCACTTGCCGCATGCTCTTCGGATGGCCATTTGCTGCCTTCCATGTTTGGTAGGCCACCCTTTGTCTTGCATTATGGCGTGTGCTCTTGGCATCATGGGACCCCAAGTCCCACACCCACTCTTTCCTTTTTTCCTTTTTTTTTTTTTTTTTTTTTTTTTTTTTTTTTTTTTTTTTCCCTTCACCCGTGATTCCTTTGCATTTCAGGGCTTGCATAGCCCGCACATCTTGCCACTTCCCTTTTTTTTTTTTTTTTTGTTTGCTCTCTATCTCTTTCTCTCTTGTTCGCATGTACCGTAGGCTTCCATGCCGTATAGGTGTTCCCCGCTTCAGGTTCTTCCACACCTCAAGAGCGCATGCTCCTTTTTTTTTTTTTTTTTTTTTCAAGCGAGTCCAACAACTTTGCCCATTAGGCCTTCCCATTCATTCAAAAGAGCATACAAGCATTACTTGCAATCACATGTTCACCTAGGACTCCTAGTCCTACACCCCTTGCCTTGGGGTAGGCCCGCGGCCTTTCTAACATCCCCTATGGGATAGGCCAGCGGCCTTTGCACTCCCTAGTGCCATCATCTCCATTCAAGCCTCTCGGCACCGCCCCCTAGGGCGTTCACACCACCGGTGCCGGCCCTTGGGCTCCTCCCCCATTTTCCGGGCAAGCATTGGCCATGTGGCCTGGCTGCCCACAACGGAAGCATGAGCCACGAAAGCTCCTTCCATTGCCGTCAAATGGGGGGCCGCGCTTGTTGCCAAATGCCATGGGCCCGCGCCCTCCGCCACGTGGGGTACGGTTGAAATTGCCTTGTGCGCGCTCCATCGCCGCCACGTCCGCGACGGCTTGCTTGAACGGGCGTGAGGTGAAGACGCTCTTATCTTCGTAGAGCTTGAAGCGATTTGCCGTGCGGAAGTTGGTGTAGTCGGCGACGTGGAGTAGCTTGAAGCGGTTGGTGATAAGTGTGAAAGCTTCGCCAAGGTATTCGAGGGCGCTTTCCGGCTCGTTGTGTCGCACCTTGTGCTCTGCATGCTTCAGGTATGCCCGCAGGTGTTCCAGGACCTCGGCTTGCTCGCGCACGGCGGCGTTCTTGAACGAGGCGGCGGTTAGAGTGGGATTGGGAGACGGGAGTGGGGGGAGTTGCTCAACGGGTGCAAAAGCGGCATTTAAGGCATGTGCCTCACCATCGTCGTCGTCTTCATTGTCGCTGTCGATGGGGTTGTTCATGACTGGAGCGGCAGCGGCGCATGTGTCTTCGCCCCTTCCGGTTTTTGTCGTGCGAGCGCGCTTCACAGACTCCGTTTTCGCCTTTTCGCTTTTAGCAGAAACGGAAGTCGTGTTCGGTGTAGCGATTTCTTCCGTAACAGCAGGGGCCTGCTGCTGTAACAGGGACAAAAGCTGCTGCAGTTGGGCTGCAGTGAAGCTTGGCGCCACTTGCGCGTCAGGCCCCACAGGCGCGTCAGGGCCCACAGACGCGTCAGGGCCCACGGGCCTGCGGCGCTGACGCGGACGCGGGGTGCCAGCCGCGCTGGTTGGCGCCGACTTGGCGCCTTCTGTCGCGGCCAGCGCCTGAGGGGCCACAGGGGCTCGAGGCACACCAGGGGCGTGTGCCTCGACTCCAGGGGCGTGAGCCTCGGTCGCGCCCAGCAGTACGTCGACGCCAGTCGGGGAAATTTCCCCGTCGTCTGCCCGACGCTTGTTAGGACGATCGCCGGCAATTTCGCGTGCGTTTCTTCCGGACTCGGGTCGAACAGAGGCGGTAGCGGTATTACCCTCGCCGTCGTTAAGTGCCATGGTTGCTGCGTTGTGAGCGAAAATGTCAGAGAGTAAAGTCGACGGGGATTGAAATCGGGGAAGAGACTTCAACTTCGCCAGCTTGAGAGTGGGAGACGAGAGTTGAAAATGAAAATCGGCTAAACCGTTTGAAAATGAGAGACGTGGGTGGAGGGAAATGACCTCCAGCCCACGTTTTGTACTCCAAAACGGGCGTTTAGCGCGGCTCGACGCTGCCAAATCCTACATTACAAGCAGCTTCGCTTTCAAAATACATAATTTTGAAAAGCGTTACAGCTTTTAAAAATATACATTTCAAAAGGGCGAGATACGTGCCGTATCCTTGGACATACAGAAGGTACAGTATATTATACATAGGCCAAGCCATCATGACTTAGTTGCAAGGCGCTATCCGAATTGGAAGTGCACTATCACATCCACAAACAAAATAGAACAGATGTAATTTTCACCCAGGGCCTTATTCCATTGTAAAACTGAAGTCTCACAGACAAGCACACATCAGAAACATCTACAAGCCCTTTTATCTCTGCCCCATCAACTACATCCACCCAATCTGCTGCATCCACACCTTCCATCCATCCACCCAATCAGCCTTTTGCAAGGCTGGACTTCGCAAGTCCGGTACCCATCCCCTAGGCACATTCTAGAGCAGATTATCCTACCCATCTACTTAGGAACACCATACAAAACAGGACGAGTACACTCCGTACGCACAAACTCGTCGGGCATGAAATACGTATCCCCGTTCGCAAAGTGCAGCTCCCGAACGCACGGCTCAACCGGGTAATTCCACGCGTAAAGAAAGCTCTGAGTCTGCCCGGGGTAAAACTGGACATTACCCCTGGGGCCCTGGTTGAATTGAATCGCGCAGTTGCCCTTCTTGAACCTCTCAACGCAGCAAGGGCTGAAGACCGGAACGTTCTGGAACCGTGAAGGGTAGCGCGCGGGGTTGTCGAGCGAGCCAACCATCAGATTGCCGAAGTCGAAGCAGTTGAAGAGGATGAGCGGGCTCACGATGCTGTACTTGCACCTGTTGACCATGGTCAGATTGAAGATGTAGTTCTTCTGATACCAAACGCCCACGTACTTCTGAGCGATTCTCAGGGTCGTCCTGCCGCAATCTGGGTTTCACGGGGAAGCATTTGCGGAGAGGCGGGAGGGGGAGAACGGGGGAGGGGGGAGCGTTAAGGGGAGGGAACACTTCTGCCTTTTAGTAAAGGGATTTTGAGATGAGGCTAAGCCTTTGTTGCAAACAGCAAGAAGGTAGGAGATGGGCTTATGCGATAACTTATCGTGAAGATAAGTTCACTCACTATCGGTAAGGGGGGGGTTAGACTGAAGCTCGCGCCTGTGCACCTCCATATCCTTCAGGTGCTCCGGGAGAGGCTCATCCGCGTTATAAGACTCATAGTGAAGAATCCGCGGGCCCTGGCGCTGGGTCATATCAGCGATCGCCTCCGCGTCGCTCATGCCGCCCGCGGCAGTAGAGACGGCGGCGTCCGCGGAGGCGGACGTGGAGAGCGCGGCGGAAGCGTCGTCCGCGGAGCTGAGCGCGTCCTTGCGCGCCTGAGAGGCGGGGAGGAGGGACGCCGCGAGGAGGGCGACGAGGGCGAGCGTTGCCGCAGTGAAGAAGCCGCGAGGGAGCGCCATGGTGGTTTGGGAACTTTGATGAGAGGTTCTTGCGGAGTTAAATTTGTACTAGCAGTAAGTTGGAAGCAAAGGAAGCTGGAGCGGTTAGTTTCGGCTTGAGAACCCGCTGTCTCAAGCTCTTTGTTTAACAGCTGCTTGTGTTCAGCTGATGATGATTGAAAGCAACAGATCCGCCTGACTTATAGTTTCGTTCGCGGGAAGGCCAAGGCCTCGAATCCAAGGCGTTCCGTGAGCGTAGCTGCGGTGAGCGACCAGAGGGCGCAGCGGTTGAGTGGGGGTTTCTGCGAGGGTCTCCCCGCGACGGTGCAGCTGTCCGCGTCGCGGCGGCGCGATCGCACCGTTTGGACATGGTTAGAGGCGTTAAGTGCAACTACCGGTCGTTTGGTGGAACGGAGACGCGCTCTGAATGGATTCGGAGGATTCAACAGCTTCTTACAGGGCTGCGCGCTTTGACGATACGGCTCCTGCGCGTTTCGCGGCGCCTGCTTATCAATGATTTTCTTTATTTGTTCCGCTCCAGGACCCTAACAAAAACTCGACCCAGCGTGGGCGGTTTCTGCTAACTCCCCATGCCACGCGCCGCCCCATGTCGTTAAGAACCGAGGAAGCGTCCAGCAAGCATTCAGTTGCGACGACTCTTTTCTCCTGCCAGTGAAACCAGAGGTTGGGCTGTGAATCCAACTGTCCTAGCTAACAGAAAAAATGGGTGACTGGAATAGGGGCTAGGGAGATGAATTTGGGTTGAGGGGGGGTTGTTGGGTGAGAGGTTGAATTGGCTTGGCTGGAAGGGGCTGTTTGGTTTGGGGAATTGGGAGCCGTTGCGGCAGCGTGGGTTGCATGCGACATGTGGCGGCTCGGGGAAGCGGTTGACATTTGGTGGTTTGCGAGCGACTCGCTCGGATGAAACTCCTCGATAATTTGGTGTGGTCTGGCTGTTTACACATGTTTGAATGTACACCCTACGCGGAACAAACATAATGAATCTGATTCTATGGGACATCTAAAAGGAATTTCAACACGATGAGTGATAAACTCACGAAAGTGAAAACAAGCGTTTCCAATAAAGCGGATTGAGTGAGGCGCGTAAGTTGAAAATTTGCAAATTCAAAATTATGAGGCCGCGTCTGCAAGATCAGACCTCGTTCCGCCCAACAAGCAGTCCAAAGCCCCAGCTGGGTTCATAAACTCGTCGTACTCGTCAATGGAACAACGGAGACGACTCAGTAAACACAGGGAACTACTTTTTGAAAACGGGCCTTGCATGAATCGGGAGGAGTCCCACATGTTGGCCGTTTGATTTCTCTCAGCATCAAGCTCCCGCTGTTGCTTGTAGCTGAACTTCCGTCACACGGGTATTGTGTAGGCGAAGCTTGCACCGGTGGAAAGTTTTGTGAACATTCGTGCGAGAAAAAGCTCAGGATTTGCGACACTTGAGATAATTTGATTAGAACGCAGCCGAAGAAAGAGTGGATGTAAGGGAGTTTCTTCGTTGCGAACGACACGGAATTACGAGGTTCAGACCCCTGGTATCGACATGGTTCTTATTCATCCGAGTATCATCAGCAGCGTCGCGACGCGGCTAGGGAGAAAATGGGAAGACGAGGAGGGGAGGACGATGTACGAGAAGGGAGAAGACTGCCTTGGTAATTTCCATGGATTATCCCGTATTTTGCCACGTCGGTATATGACCAGGTGACTCACTAGGGACGGACGATGTACGAGAATGGAGAAGACTGCCTCGGTGATCCGCCGCCTGCCTTATCTTAACACGACGCTCCTCTCGTTTCTGCCTTCACCACGTGTCCGCTGCGTGTTTCGCTCCTTCGTTCCCTGAAGGCCGTTCTCCATATAGGCTCAGCTCGCCACGTAGTATATCGCAGTGCACGTGGCTTCGCCTCCCCCCTCATTCGCCGCTTACAGCGACTGACGAGGCGGGAGCGCTCGTGGTGCTGCTCCTAGTGCCCCACCTGCTCGCACATTACCCCCCACTTCCCAAATTACTATCACTCCCCATCCCCCCTCCCTCCACACTCCTCCCCTCCCCCTCCGCTCCCCACTCCTCTTCGCCCTTGTCCCTGTTCTCAGGCTCCCTGCGCGATCTTCAGCGGCTGATGCGGCGGGACCACCCTGTGTCGCGCGACGTGCTCGTGCAGCTGGGTCGGTGGGACATTGTTCGCACAGACCTCGTTCCCATCATCTGCCGATACCGCCGCGACTCCTCTCTGCTCCTTAACGCCGGTAAGCGTACACTCTAATCAATGACCCAGTCCGTTTCCGTCAAGTTCAAGTCGACTGGGTGGGTCGGTGGGACATTGTCCGCCTTGACCTCGTTCCCTTCATCTGCCAATAGTGCGACTCCGCGCTACTCCTTACAAGCGCTGCCTCCCCATTAGCGCCACCTCCCCATTCCCCGACTTTCCCCACGTCCCCACCTCCCCATCCATTCCCTTCCGCCTCCCCCACTTCCCCTCCCCACCACCCCTCAGTCAAGCTGCTGGTGTTCCTTACGATGCCATCGCCGCCACCGCCGCCAGATCTGGACGCAGCAGGGCGGCAGCAGCAGCAGAAGCTGCGGCTGGAGCACCATAACTGCCAGAGGCGCTTCAAGAGCGCGCTGCTGCACGGAACTGGCGCTGTAACGAGTGGGCTTATACCGAGAAACGGTGGCGCTGGTGCTGGTGGTGGTGGCGGTGGTGGGAGTGGTTATGTGGGGAGTGGGGAGAGCGATGCGATCGCGATTGTGCTTCAGTTGCTCGTTGATCCTCTCACGAATATCCAAAGGTAGAGTTTAAACCCCCTCGAATATTTCCAGAGGTAATTTGTGGGGTTTCTGTGGTGATCCAATGTGGCTTTTGAATCAATTGAAAGGCACCTGTGCTCCAGTTACTCGTCGATCCTCTCAAGAATATCCTAAGTTATTGTGGGAATACATTTCTTCAGGAAAAGGAAAAAAGGGCTGATGGGAGACGGTGTTGTCATACCAGCCATTCCTCGATCCCCCACTCCCCACCCTCTCGCTCCTCCCCACCCATCCGCACCTCCTCCTCCCTCCCTATGTGTGCTTCATCTTCTCGTTTTCCTCCCCATGCCCCGAACACACGTCCCTCTTCCCCTGACTTGATTTGTTATCACTTCGTAGTGCAGTTTGTTCACGTCTTTCCACTAGTTTATTGATTGATTGCCCTTTCCACTCACACACCCCCTCCAACGCCCGCCTTCCCCCATCCATCCCCCGCCTCTGCTATGCAGTGGGCGTGGCAGCAGCGACGACTGGCGGCTGGTACAGATGATAGTCACTCTGGTTCGGAACCTCCTTGCCATCCCCGACCCTCCGCCGGACGTATCCTCAGCCTCGGCATGGGCGCATCTGTGCTTCCTTCAGGTAGGCTCGGTAAACCTGCCATCGAGCAGGCTCGGTGAACTTGCCGTCAGATAGGCTTGGGATGAACACAACCCGCACCCCTTCTCCCCACCCCCCCCACCCAGTTCTGCTCACTCCACCCCCTCCCTACATTTCCCCCCATGTTTTTCTCTCAGCACGACCTTATTCGCACTCTCTTCCGCAGCGACTTCCCCGACCTCCTCCTCTTCCTCGTTTCCTGCCTCCACGCCCCCAAAACTGCCCCTGCGCTTTACTCACAAACCCTATCCGTCGTCCCTCTGCCCTGGCCCCCCACTCCCTCTCCCCACTACCTCCCGTATTCAGGACGATCTGATTCGCTCTCTCTTCCGCAGCGGCTTCCCAGACATACTTCTCTTCCTCGTAGCCTGCCTCGACGCCCCCGAAACCGCCCCAGCTCTTCGCCACGACAACCTCTTATTCCTCGAGATTCTTAATCTCCTCTTCCGCGAATTACCTCCTAAGGACGCTGCTGTAGCGGCGTTTAGGGCTGTCGGGGAGGCTGATGCCGAGGCTGACGCGCGGGAGGACCGGGAGGCTGCCGAACGTCTGGCGGAGGCTCGGCGGCGGGAGAAGGAGCGGGCGGCTCGGAAGGCGCTGGCCCAGAAGATCACGCAGCGGCACTCCCGGTTCGGCGGGCTCTATGTGGTTCGGAACGCGGTGAGTGTTGGCTGGTCTGAAATGTCGTTGATTTTTTTTCTTTTCTATTTTTTCACTCCGCCCTCCTCTCCTCACCTGTTCACCACACCATTACACCCTCTTCAGCCAAGCCACGCTCCAGTCGTCCCTCGCCCCTTTTGAGACATCTCAAAAGACCCCTTCTGAGACATCTCAAAACTCCCCACCTGTTCACCACACCATTTCCGCCCTCTTCAGCCAAGCCACGCTCCAGCCGTCCCTCACCCCACTCAATCCTACTCCCTCCCTCCCTCCCTCCCTCCATCCTTTCCTCCCAGGACAAGTCAAGAACAGTCTCTAGCACACCTTTCTCCCCGCCTGTCCACCACGCCGTCTTCAGCCAAGTCAGGCGGGGATAACAGTCTTGGGCTCACTCCAAACCTCCTCTCCCTTCACACTACGGCCCACTCTATTGCTTATCCCCACAGGACAAGTCAAGAACAGTCTCTAGCACCCCTTTCTCCCCGCCTGTGCACCACGCCATCTTCAGCCAAGTCAGGCCCCGGTCCTCTCACCCAATAAGTTCCTTCTTCCCCTTCTTACTCCTGCCTCCTCTCCACGCCCCACCTCCCAGGGCAAGTCGCGAACAGTCTGTAGCACGCCAGTCTCCCCGCCTGTGCACCACGCCATCTTCAGCCAAGTCAAACGGGGATTCCAATCCTGGGCTCACTCCAAACCTCCTCTGTTCGCACACCTATGCCCACGCCCTTGCCCCCTCCTCCCAGGACAAGTCAAGAACAGTCTCTAGCACACCTTTCTCCCCGCCTGTCCACCATGCCATCTTCAGCCAAGTCAGGCGGGGACCCGTGCGGCGAGTGATGGGGGGGACGGGCATGGGAGGAATGGGCATGGGCATGGGCATGGGCATAGGGGGAATAGGAATGGGCGGAACAGGCATCGGCATGGGGTTGGATGCTGGTTTGAACGGCGATGGGGGTGGTGGCAACGGTGGTGATGCGAGGAAACCAGATGCTGACGTGGATGCTGCCCTGGGATTGGTCGGTGGAGCGCGGGCCAATAGGAGGAGCTCCAGGTGGACGGCGAGGCGCCTCGGGGTGTTTGCTGACCGATTGCTGGCTTCGGGATGCTACAATGGTAAGTGTGACAATAGAGAGCGCTACAATGGTAAGTGTGACAATAGAGAGCGTTACAATGGTGAGTGTTACAATGGTGAGTTGATTGATCAGTGTTATGATAGCGAGGGTTACAATAGTGAGCTGGTTGATCAATGTTAAAAGTGAGTGTTCCAATAACGAGTGCTATTACAGCGAGTGTCACGGTCATCAGTATGATCCCTTTGGCCCTCCCATTCCCCATCCTCCCACCTCCCTCCAGTACGCATGAAGACGGTTCGTCACGACGTGGCGGCCTGGCGGGTGGGACTAGAGCCCTCGGACACGCTCGCCTTCTTACCCTTGGGTTGATTCGTTACTCACCCTTCCTTCCCCATTCCCCCCTCCGCCCTTTCCCGCTCTTCCTCCCCCGCCCTCCAGTGCTCATGGAGACGGTTCGTCGCGACGTGGCTGCATGGAGGGCGGGGCTAGAGCCCTTGACAGACACAACACTCACCCTTCCCTCCCCCATTCCCCCCTCCCTCACTACCATTCCCCATCCTCCCACCTCCCTCCAGTGCTCATGGAGACGGTGCGTCGCGACGTGGCTACATGGAGGGCGGGGCTAGAGCCCTTGACAGACACAACACTCACCCTTCCCTCCCCCATTCCCCCCTCCCTCACTACCATTCCCCATCCTCCCACCTCCCTCCAGTGCTCATGGAGACGGTGCGTCGCGACGTGGCTGCATGGAGGGCGGGGCTAGAGGCCTCCGACACCCTCGCCTTCTTCCTGGTAGCTTCCTTCTTCACCGCGTTCCAACGGGAAATGCACGGCCTGCGGGGCTGGGGGGGAGTGGCTGGGGGGAAGGAGGGGGTTGCGGGGGGTAAGGCAGGGGGAGCAGGAGAGGAAGCAGGAGCAAAGGACACGGAAGCAGGGGAGCGAGGGGGAGGAGAAGGAGGAGGAGGAGGAGGAGGAGAAGAACCAGGAGAAGGAAAGGAAAAACAGGAAGAAGGGGAAAGAGCAGGAACAGAGGAAGCTTCTGGGAGGGTGGAGCAGCGAGGAGTGTGTGGTTGTGGGCCAATAGCAGCCACAATGGATGATGACATGTTCACTCTTGTTTCTGCCCGCTGGGCAGAGTATGCTGCCCGGGCCAATCACGAGCGGGCAGCGCTGGTTGCGGCGGGCAGCCTGCTGAAAGAAATGGTGAGCGTCTTGATTTGAGCGCCCCCTCCCTACCCTTTCTTGATTTCCCCTTGGGTTGCTTGTTTTTGCTTCTTTTGTTGGCGCCTTCTGATTTTTTTATAATGCCCCTCCTCCCTCCCCCCACCCACCCTGTTTCTACCCCACAGATTCACATGCTCGATGCCATAATCAAATCCGGGGAGAATCCCACTCCCACAGCAACAGGCTCGGCCGAACCTCTCCACGAGGTTCGGCCAGAGGTCCGGTGGGAGGTTCGGCGGGAGGTTCGGCTGGCACGGGCCATGCTTCTACGACTCTTCTACGACGATTCGAGCGACGGAGTGGTGCATGTGCTGCAGCGGGTGCTGAAGGGGTTCAACCCGCACACGCAGCCGCGCTGCTTGCTGGTTGATGCAGTGGAAACAACTCACGTGTGCCTGAGACTGCTCGAAGACTTGGTTCGAACAGAAGGTGCACTCAAGGTAAGCTGAAATGCGAGGGTGCATGTGCTGCAGCGGGTGCTGAAGGGGTTTAACCTGCTGGTTGCTTGTGACAGCTGTTGAAACCACCCTGTCACCAGCAAGCAGCAGGTGTCTCCACCCGGACGCAGCGGGTGCTGCAGCGGGTGCTGAAGGGGTTTGCTTGAGGGAGATCCGACAGTGATAGTTTCCCTGTCTTTATCTCCCTGTTTTTGTCTCCCTGTGTTTGTCTCCCTGTCCTGTTCGCCCGTGAACTTGCCCAATGCAGGTGGTGAGAAAGAGTCGACAGCGGAAGGACAAGGTTGGGAAGGCAAAGGAGGCCAAGGGGAAGGGGAAGAGTGTAGACGTGGGAGCGGAGGGAGAGCAGGAGGGAGAGCAGGGGAATGAGCAGGAGAAGGCCCAGGAGGGAAATCAGGAAGGGGAAAATGCTGCTGCTGCAGATGCTGATGGTGCTGCGGGTGCTGATGGTGGTAGTAATGCTGCCGCTGCTAATGTTGGAGGTGGGGTTGGTGATGCTGCTGGTGATGCTGCTGGTGGTTGTGACAATAATGCTGCACCTGATGCTGCAGAAAAAAGGGGTGAAGGACGTCAACTGGGAGAAAAGGAAGGGCAGGAGGGGGGAACAGAACAGAGGGAAGGTAATGGTGGTAGTTCTGCTGATGCTGCTGCTGCTGCTGCTGGTGGTGGTGGTACTGGTACTGCTATTGCTGCTGCTGCTGCTGGCGCTGCTGCTGCTGCTGCTGATCCTGGTGCTGAAGATGATGAAGATGAAGAGGCAGCAGCAGACGGAGAAGGCCCAGAAGATTCCGACCCAGGCTCGGACCTAGCCTCAGATGCAGGCTCGGACATAGGCTCGGATGCCGAGCCTGGGGACGGCATAGAGGAGGCGGAGGCGGAGGAGGAGGGTCGGGGTAGGCGGGAGGAGGTTCGGGAGTATGAGCTAGACGTGAAGCGCACTATAAGGGGGTTTGCTGACGTGCACGCGGTTAAGAACTGTGTGTGGCTGCTGGAAACGGCCAATAGCAACGCGCCACGTGTCAACCACTATGTGCTGTCGCTGCTCAGGAGGTTCACTGTGGGGTGCGATGCTGAGGCCATGCTGTTCCAGGTGGGTCTCAGGTGATTTGTCAGGTGATTTCTTAGGTGATTTCTCAGGACCTTCCTCACGGTGCGTCTTCAGGTGCTTTCTCAGGCCTCCTCAGGTGTATTTCAGGTGTATTCCAGGTCTGAACCCTTACACCCTGCACCCTGACAAGTCCCCCATCTTCCTACCCCCATCCGCCCTCTCCCCCCATCCCCCCTCCCTCCAGGTATCAACCCTACACACCTTCAACAAGCTCCTCACCAACCCAGACCCCCGCTCCTCCCCTCTGCACGCGCCCCTGTTTTCAGGTCACTTGAAATAACGCTCCCATGCACTTTCCCCCCATCTCCCTTCCCATCCCCCTCCCTCCAGGTGTCAACCCTGCACACCTTCTACAAGCTCCTAACCAACCCCGACCTCCGCTCCTCCCCTCTGCACGCACCCCTGTTTCTAGGTCACCTAAAGCACACTCCACTGCCCTTTCCCCTGTCTCCCTTCCCCCCACCCCCCCTCTCCCCCCAGGTCTCAACCCTACACACCTTTTACAAGCTCCTAACAAACCCCGACCACCGCTCCTCCCCTCTGCGCGCACCCCTGTTTCTAGGTCACCTAAACAACGCTAGTCTGCCCTTTTCCCCATCTCCCCTTCTCCCTATCCCCACATCCCTCCCTCCCCCCAGGTCTCAACCCTACACACCTTTTACAAGCTTCTCACCAACCCAGACCTCCGCTCCTCCCCCCTGCACGCGCCCCTCCTCTCCTTCCTCTCCTCCACTGTCCGCCACCTCTCCGCCCTCCTCCCTCTCCGCCCCTCCCTCTTCCTCCGCCTCCTCTTCCACAAATCCCGGAAAGAAAGCATGGTTCTCGCTGCTGACGTGGCACTGGGGGAGCTTAGGTCGGGGGGGTGGGTGGGCGGGAGAGCGGGAGGCGGGCATGGGGAAGAGGGATGGGAGGCGGTGAGTGGGGGGAAAGGGAGGCGGAGAGTGGGTGGGGGAGGAGGAAAGGGGGGAGAAAAGGGGGGACGGGAGAATGTAAGGAGTGGGGGGTTGAGGGATGCGTTGGGGGATGATGAAGCAGATGTGGAGTTGCCTCGAGGCATGTGGTGGGCTGCTGATGTTGCTGATGCTGCTGCTGCTGCCGCTGGCAAGAGGTGAGAGAAGGGGCGACAGAAACGGAGTTTTTTTTCGGTAATTTGCAAGAAGGTGGGAGTGTTGAAGAGTGGGGGGTTGAGAGATGTGTTGCAGGATTATGGGGCAGATGTGGGGGGTGCCTGATGCTGCGGCTGGCAAGAGGTGAGAGAAGGGGCGACAGTAGCAGAATTTTCTCCGGTAATATACAAGAAGGTGAGAGTGTTGAAGAGTGGGAGGCGCCTGATACTACTGCTGGCAAGAGGTGAGATAAGAGGGGGTACGCATGTTGCAACAGAGCAAGTAAAGTGTAAGGCCCTTCGTTTTGAAACGACATTGGGGCATTCCTGCTTCCTACTCACACCAGCACCACCTCGTCCTCCCCATCTTCCTCTCCGTTCACTTTTGAGGCGCCTCAAAAGTACTTCCTACTCACACCAGCACCACCTCGTCCTCCCCATCTTCCTCTCCGTTCACTTTTGAGGCGCCTCAAAAGTACTTCCTACTCACACCAGCACCACCTTTTCCCATCTTTCTCTCCGTGTCCCTGCCCTCCCCATCTTTCTCTCCGTGTCCCTGCCCTCCCCATCTTTCTCTCCGTGTCCCTGCCCTCCCCATCTTCCTCTCCGTGTCCCTGCCCTCCCCATCTTCCTCTCCGTGTAACTGCCCTCCCCATCTTCCTCTCCGTGTCCCTGCCCTCCCCAGCTTCCTCTCCGTTCACTCTAATAGTGGCAAGGGCAGGGACACGGCGCGAGCGACTTTAGAGTCAACCTCCTCTTTCTCTCCACCTTGCTTTCCACCTCTCGAAACCACTTGCTTTTCCACCTCCCCGTTCACTCTAATGCTTGGCAGCAAGGGAAGGGGCAGGGCACGAGCGTTTTCAGAAGACCAGGAGAGGAGGATACGAGAGCTTTTCGAGAGGTAAGAATGGAACTATGGGCGAGGGCCTTTCTAAGAGCGGCAGGAAAGGTACGAGAGTGATCCTGGTCTTTGGGCGCCTCAATAATCAAATCAAACAAAAGTTAGTCTTAAACGCAGGTATGAGAGAGGAAGAACAGGTATGGCAGGTGTGGAGGAGCAATCTGGTTATTAAAGTGTACGGGTGACATGAAATTCGGTGATAGCAAAGATGACGACTATTGAGTCGACTCAAAAGTCATCTTTGTTAAAATGTACGTGTGACATGAACTTTGGTGATAGCAAAGGCTCTAATTGCACATGACCCCAGCGTGCTTCCTCCCACGGGCCTTCCTCCTCCCCTCCTCATTACCCCCTTCCGCCTCTCATCGTCCCCCTCTGTCTCCCTTACCTTTCCGCACTTCCTTCCCGCCCTCTCCCCCTTCTCTTGCCCGGATCAGCCACAAGACAAGGCGGGAGGTGCCATCCCTAATGGCAAAGGCTCTAATTGCACATGATCCCAGCCTGTTTCCTTCCACATGTCTTCCACTTCCCCTCATTGCCCCCCTTCCTTCCCTCCACGCCCCCTGTCCTCTCCCCACCTTCTCCCGTCTCCCCCATCAGCCACAAGTCAAGGCGAGATATGCCATCACTGATAGCAAAGGCTCTCATCGCACATGACCCCAGCCTTCTTCATTCCACCCGCCGTAAAAAACCAGGGAAGGAAGGGGAACCTAGGGAAGGCGGGGAAGAGAGAGAAGAGGGGGAAGAGGGGGAAGAGGGGGGAGAGGGGGAAGTGGAGGAAGGGGAGGGCGTTGGAGAGGAGGGGGCAGCTGGGGAGAAAAGGGGTGCTCCTCAAAGCGACCCTGCAGCTGCTGTTGATGCGGACTCGATAAAAGCTGACTCGATAAGAGCACTTGCGGGGAAGGTCAGCCGGTTTTTGCGGTCGCAGGGGCTAAAGAGGAGCAAGGCGGAAACGACGGTGGGGGGAGGGGAATCAAGGGGTGGTGATGGTGATGATGGTGATGATGGTGGGGGTGGTGGTGGCGATGGTGGTGGCGACGGTGGTGGTATGGCAGGGGGCGGGAAAGGCAAGGCTGGGAAAGGCAAGGCTGGGAAAGGAAAGCTTGGGAAGGGACGGACTGGCAGGTCACGGTCACGTGTGAGTGTGGGGAAGAAGGGAAGGAGGAGGCATCTGGTGTTCGACAGTGATTCTGAGGAGGGGGATGCTGGGGGAGAGGTGAGTGAGGGAGCGAGTGAGGGAGGGAGTGAGGGAGAGAGTGAGGTGGAGGAAGAAATTGGTTTGGAGGAGATGGAGGGAGGGGAGATGGGGTGGGGGGCTGGGGAGGAGGGCGAAAGGAAGGAGGGAGAGAGGAAAGAAGGAGGTGCAGAGGGAGAGGGAGGTGTGGAGATCGGTGGAGAAGGAGAGGAGCTTAGGGGAGAAGAGGGGGGAAAAGGCGTGGGGTTGAAAACGGGGTTGAAGGCAAAAGGGGCGAGGAACACGCAGAGGCGCGGCAGTCTCCCATTCACAGAGGAGGATGATGCAATGATCAAGAGTCTATACAGTGATGCTACAGGGGTTCAGGTGGGGGATATCAGTAGCAGCAACAGCAGCGGCAGCAGGAGTAAGGGCAGGAGAGGCAAGGGTGCTGTTGCAAAAGAGGTTGCTAAGGCTATGGGAGGGAAGTTTTCGGTTGCCCGGGTGGCCCAGAGGATTCAGTTTCTCGGGCTGCCCGAGGAGGATGGAAAGGGCAGGAAGAGGAGTGAGAGGAGGAAACGCGGGGGTGGGAATGGGTTTGATGAGATTTTGAGGGATGTGGGTGAGGGAGAGGAGGGAGAGGAGGGAGAAGAGAAAGAGGAGGGGGAAGAGGGAAAAAAGGTTGAGGAAGGAGAGACAGAGGACGAGGACGAGACAGGAGGTGAGGAGGAAAGAGTGGGAGGTGAGAAGGGAGAAGAGGGAGAGGGGGAGGATGAAAGAGAGGAGGCGGAGAGCAGTGAGGATGAGGATAATGTGCTGCTGAGCAATAGACCGAAGGCACGGACTGGTTCTGCTGCTACTGCCACTGCTGCTGCTGCTGCTACTGCCACTGCTGCTGCTGGTGCTGCTGCCACTGCTGCTGCCACTGCTGCTGGTGCTGCTGCTGGTAGAGTGAGGCGAGGAAGAAGGGCTGTTGAGAGCTCTCAAGAAGAGGCGGAGAGTAGCAAGGATGAGGAGAATGTGCTGCTGAGCAAGAGACAGAGGGCGCTAGCTGCTGCTGCTAAAGTGAGGCGAGGACAGAGGAGTGACAGGAGGCAGAAGGGAGGAGGAGCAGCAAGAGGAGGAGAGATGCTGAGGGAGCAGGAGGCCCAGGAAGAAGAATGGGCTACAGGCAGCCAGGCTGCTGGTGGGGATGGTGCAATGAATTTGGAGGGAGACCGAGGGGCGATTGTTGTTCCAAACAGCACTGCTATTGCCGCAGCGCCTATAACAGGGAGTGTTCTTATCGGAGGTGCTTCTATTGCAAGTGCTGCTGTGGGAGTGGAGGAGAGGGTGGAGTTGAAGGAGGAAGCCGTGCGGGAGGGCGTTCAAGCAGTGCTTGCTGCTGGTAAGAGCTCTTATCCCCTCTCCCGTCTCCATTGCCTTGTGAGATGCGTCTATGGGACTGGAAGGGGAAGTGGAGTTGAAAGAGGAAGCCGTGCGGGAGGGCGTTCAAGCAGTTCTCGCTGATGGTAAGAGCTCTTATCCCCTCTCCCGTCTCCATTGCCTTGTGAGATGCGTCTATGGGACTGGAAGGGGAAGTGGAGTTGAAAGAGGAAGCTGTGCGGGAGGGCGTTCAAGCAGTGCTTGCTGCTGGGAATTGCCTCTCTCGCCCCGCTCCTTCTTCCGTTGCTTTCTTATCTTTCTCAATGCCCTCTCCCTTCCCACTTCTCGCCTTCCCTCTTCCATGGTTCCTCTTGACTGCTTCTGTATACCCATCTTTCAATGTCCGTTTTTAAGTCGACTTAAACATTGGTTCCTCTTGACTGCTTCTGTATACCCATCTTTCAATGTCCGTTTTTACGATACAAATCTCATCTCTACTCTTCTCTGTCCTCCTCCCTACCCGCCAATCTTTTTTCCTCCCCCATTCCCCCCCATCCCCCCAACCCCATTCCTCCCTTCTTCTTACAGATTCCTTTGATGGAGCAGAGGCGATCCAATGGCTGCAATCGCGCCTGAAAGCAGCCCACGCCAGCTGGACAGACGCGATCGCTCGAAACAGCTGGCAGCTCCTGCTGATGGACGGCCCAGATTGGCCTGGCAGGAAGGGGAAGAAAAAAGGGGGGAAGGGGAAGGAGAAGGGGAAGAAGGAGAAAAGGAGAAGACAGGAGGAGGAAGAGGAGGAAGGGGAGGGAGGAGAGGAGGAGGGGGATGGGGGGTGGGGGGAGGTTGTGCATGTAGACTTCCCGTTGGTGGAGGAACTGGAAGATTGGGACACAGTGGCGAATGACAGCATGGCTCAGCTGCTGTCAGGTGAGCTGTCTGTTGCTGTCAGGTGTGTTCTCAGGTGCGTTTTGACTCTTTCTGCTCTCAGATGCACTCTCAGGTTTGCTCTCAGGTGCTGCCCATGTTGCTATCAATTGCGTTCCTTCTCTCTTCTCCCCTTCACCTCTTCCTAACAGCACTGTGCTTAAAGCACCCAGATGAGGCTGACGGTTGCTGGAGGGTCCCTGGGGACAGGGGCACGCAATGGCTGCTGCATGCTGTGAGCCTGCTTGCACGCATGGTGGCAGGGGGGAAGCCCAGCCCGTGCTATGATGCTTGCTTACTGAATCATATTCCTTCTCTGCTCCTTTCCCTCCCACCCACCAGCACTGTGTTTGAAGCATCCTGACGAGGCTGATGGTTGCTGGAGAGTCCCTGGAGACAGGGGCATGCAGTGGCTGCTGCACGCTGTGAGCATGCTTGCACGGATAGTGCAGGAGGGAAGCTCACATGCCCAATTCCATCCTTCTCTGCTCTGTTTCCTCCCACCCACCAGCGCTGTGTTTGAATCATCCTGACGAGGCTGATGGTTGCTGGAGGGTCCCTGGGGACCGGGGCACGCAGTGGCTGCTGCACGCTGTGAGCATGCTTGCACGGATGATGGCAGGGAGTGGGGGAGCAGCCCGTGCTATGATGCTTTCTTACTGAATCACATTCCTTCTCTGCTCCTTTCCCTCCCACCCACCAGCTCTATGCTTGAAGCACCCAGATGAGGCGGATGGCTGCTGGAGGGTCCCTGGGGACCGGGGCACGCAATGGCTGCTGCATGCTGTGAGCATGCTTGCACGGATGATGGCAGGGGGAAGCTCGTTCGTGGATGGTGGTGGGAGGCTGCAGATGGTTGTTGTAGAGGAGAGAGGGGGGGGAGGTGGGGAACGGAGAGAGGGAGTCGAGGGGAGAGAGGGGGTGGAGGAGGGGGCGAGAGGAGGGGAGGAGAGAGAAGGAGAGGGAGAAGTGGAGGGAAGGGAGGATAGAGGGTGGGGAGGGAAAGATGGTGAGGGAAGAGAGGAAGGAGAGGGAGGACGGGTCGATGGAGAGGGAGAAGGGGGGGTTATTAGGGCGTGTCTGGGTCCCAGGCACAAAAAGCGGAGAGGGGAAGGAAAGACAGGCGAGGAGCAACAGCCAGGATTGAACAGCCATGAGGGTAGTGAGGGAGAGGGGGATGAGTGCGGGGGAGGGGGAGCAGAGAGAGACAGGGAGGAGTCTGGAGGGGAGGAGGAGAGACGGCAGGGGAGGATGGGGGGTGAGGAGATCAGCGGGTATGAGGGGGAGGGGATTCTCTTGACAGCTCGAGTGAAAGACACAGGAGAGGGTGTGAGGGGGAGGGTCGAACAGAGCATGGCCTTGGAGGAGGGGGGCCATGAGGACACTGGTAAGAGGGATGATCAGGTTGGAGGTGGAGAGCTGGCAGAATGTGGGAGAGGAAATGATCAAGCGGGGGAAAGGGTTGAAGAGGACGCGAGTAGAGAGACTCATGCTATCTCCATCGAGAGAATTGAAGGTGTTTCCAGTGGCGGAGAGGTGCCGCCGCCCTTGATGCCTGCAGTGCTCGGTGCGCGATCCAAACGGCCTGCTTCTTTCACTGGTGGAGTCTCGGACCAAGCCAAGAGGCTGAGGCTTGATGGTTCGGATGCGGAGGAGGCTGCGGAGGATCGCTAAGCTTTACAGCCATACATACCTAGAAAGATTTTAGACGGGGCAGATAGACAGGCAGGCAGGAGTACAGAAATTTCGTACGGAACTTAGTATGTTACGGCGGGACACTTGTGTGTCACAAAGCTACGAATTGTGCATTAAATAAGAGCAACAAACAGTAAGAAGTCCTTGAAGACCCAGTGTGCAGTATTGTACTCAAAACTGTCGTTCATTCCGTCAGTGCTTTTGCGTATCATATTTCAGATAACAATGAGCATAATTTGAGCCATTTTGACCTAGAAGCCTACTGAACAAAATGAAATACCCAACGTTCCACTTAAAAAAGGCATCTTTGCTATGAGAAAGGAAACAGGTGTTCTACTACCGCTTAGAAGGATCGTCAGGTTCAAGCCTCTTTTGAATGGCAGCAGCTCCCTGAAAGGCAAGTGCAGGCAGGCAAGACACACAGCAAGCAGCAGAATTCCACAGCAAATCACATAATGAGCAGAAGGAGGATAAGGGGCACAGATTGATCTTCGGGGCACCTAAAAAGCACACAGCAAGTTGCTTGATACTGTACGCACAGGAGGACAGGCAAAGGATAGTGTCTGTGCAGAAAACAATGGAGGGTTTGCGTGCGGCAGGCAGGCAATGGTCACACCGATGAAGAAAACTTTAGAGCGAAACAAGGAGGCAGACAGGCGAGGAAGAAAGGTGTTACCGGTACCATAAGAGAACCAGCTGAGATGCTTAGGATGTTGGGCGGGAATGACAATATCCAGGAGCAAATGAACCACTATGTCACAAAAGCGTTAGAAGAGCAGGAGTGAAATTCACCTCGTAGTTCCCAATCTGGTAGAGGAAGCGCAGCTCCTCCTTGAGTCGCTTTTGAGTCAACCAAGAAAGTGACTGAACCACTACCACCAGTGTAACAAGAGCAGGAGTGAAATTCACCTCGTAGTTTCCAATCTGGTAGAGGAAGCGCAGCTCCTCCTTGAGTCGCTTTTGAGTCAACCAAGAAAGTGACTGAACCACTACCACCAGTGTAACAAGAGCAGGAGTGAAATTCACCTCGTAGTTTCCAATCTGGTAGAGGAAGCGCAGCTCCTCCTTGAGTCGCTTTTGCGTCACCCAAGAAAGTGACTGAACCACTACCACCAGTGTAACAAGAGCAGGAGTGAAATTCACCTCGTAGTTTCCAATCTGGTAGAGGAAGCGCAGCTCCTCCTTGAGTCGCTCCTGGTCTCTCATTGCTTGCGCCTGGGAATCAATCAGGAGAAAGGCAGAAATAAAACAAGAAATGCACGGGGCAAAACGTGAGGAGCCAGCATGAACAATTGTACATGATGCATCATGCAGACGTGCAGACATACGGCCATGCAGCCATACAGCCACACCACGATGAACCCATGCACCCAGCATAAACCAGAACCTCCTTCTGTTCGCCGGATCTTTGCTCTGTATCTGGTGGGGAAAATCTCACCATCCCCACAGCCCACCCACCGCCCCAACCCCCTAGAACCACTCCACCCTCCACCCCTCTTTCTCACCATGCCCGACTTCATGCTGCGCTTGAGCGCCAGCACCTCCTCCTTCTGCTCGATCTTCCCAACCCCCGCAACCACCGCCGCAACCACCGCCGCAACCCACCCGCAACCTGCCCACAACCCGCCTACAACCCACCCACAACCTGCCCACAACCCATTCCAACCCCCCAGAACCCATCCCAGCCCGCCCACAACCCATTCCAACCCCCCAGAACCCATCCCAGCCCGCCCACAACCCTTCCCAACCCCCCAAAACCGTTTCTGTGTCTCGTCTCACCATGCCCGACTCCATGCTGCGCTTGAGCGCCAGCACCTCCTCCTCCTTCTGCTATGGGACATACACAACCAACGCATACCCCCCACAACCACTCTCAAACCCCTAAAACCCCCCCACAACCCCCCACAACCGCTCCAAGCCCCCCAGAACCCCTCATTCTTACCATGCCCGACTCCATGCTGCGCTTGAGCGCCAGCACCTCCTCCTCCTTCTGCTATGGGACATACACAACCAACGCATACCCCCCACAACCCCTCTCAACCCCCCTAAAACCCCCCCACAACCCCCCACAACCGCTCCAAGCCCCCCAGAACCCCTCATTCTTACCATGCCCGACTCCATGCTGCGCTTGAGCGCCAGCACCTCCTCCTCCTTCTGCTTCTCCCTCGCCCGGCGAATTTCCTCCCTGCCATGCAAGGCAAGGCAAGGCGAGGCGAGAAATGCGAAGTTTCATATGCAGGGACAGCAGCACAGGAAGGTTGACAGCGGAGAATCAGGTGCGCGTATAGGCAGGGTCAATCAACAAGTCAACGCAGTCAAGACTGTCAACGAGTCAGCAAGTCAAGACTGGCAACTAGCCAGTAAGTCAACACACAGTCAATGCAGAGCCCAGCCCACGACCACCTCTCACCTCCTCACATCTTTATCATTGAACTCTGTGATCTCCTTTCCACGATCCTTGTCAGATTTTAAGTCGCCTCTAATTAGACGAGTTGGCGCCTCATTTTAACAAGTCAGGGCAAACCCTGATACCACCTCTCACCTCCGCGCATCCTCATCATTGAACTCTGTCATCTCCTTTCCAGAAGGCTTGTCCGGCCGCCCCTTCCTCTTCGTCATCTGCTGATGCTCCCACGCTGCTAAGTTGTAATACCTGACAGAAGCAGGTGTGTTGAGAGGCAGGAAGGGACGCAGGACAGTACTTGAGCCAACTCAAAGGTGGCGACTAGAAAATGCCACCAGGTTGCTGCAGAAACTGGCAGAAGCACAGACATTAAAGGCGGATGGGAAGGCACGGGGACAGGGTGCACGGAGGGGAGAGGGGGGGGCAGTGGGGCAGCTGGGCAGTTGTACCCTGATTCCGCTTGCACAACAAAGTTCCGCAGCGTTCTGTCGTGTTGTAAAAGACTCGTTATAGAGGGACTCACTTCTTGGATGGGAACGTGGCAGTGTTGTGATCCTCCATGAACTCCTTGAATAGGTTCTTCTCCTCAAATCCGCTCAATTGCTCCAAATTTGCCTGCAGCAAGACACACACACACACACACACACACACACACACACACACACACACACACACACACACACACACACACACACACACACACACACACACACAAACACACACACCCGCGGGCGCGCCAACACACGCACAGACACACACACACACGCACGCACGCACGCACGCACACAAAAACATGTAAGTGAAAGGAGGCGGAGACCTGACCAGGGAACACGGTGTACAGCGAGCGGGGACAGAGGGGGAGCATGAGCATGGAAGACTCAGGTCAGAGGGAAGGAGGGGACCTGGGAGGAGGCAGCTGGGAGGAGCATAAGTCAACAAAGTCAACGTGGAAGACTCAGGTCAGAGGGAAGGAGGGGACCTGGGAGGAGGCAGCTGGGAGGAGGGGAAGATGACGAAAGTCAGGGCATGGAGAGAAGAGAACATAAAAAGTTTTACCTTTTTCACTTCAGCCAGCCACGCGCTGAACTCGGGTCGTTTGTTCCTGCGAGACAAGGAATAGCAAAGAAAAGATGGGTACTCTTTCAGACAAAGACAACAGCAGCAGCAGCAGCAGCAGCAGCAGCAGCAGCAGCAGCAGCAGCAGCAGCAGCAGCAGCAGCAGCAGCAGCAGAAGTAGTAGAAGCAGCAGAAGCAGCAGCAGTGATGGTGGAAAGGAGTATGCACCGGCACAAGCAATCCGGATGTGAGAGCAGATTCCGCTGAAGATTGAGAAACGGGACGAGGTCCAGGGTCCTGGTTACTCAGAGAGATTAAATCATTAAACACACTCGCGTTAAGTGACACTCACCACATGTCCACTTCCCGAATAATGCCGTACTTCCCATACTCCATGACCGGCCCTTTAGACTTGGCCTCTTTCTTAGCCTCCCTCTTCGCCTTTTTCTTCTCCCTCTTCTCCTCCTTCTTCTTCTCCTTCTTCTTCCTCCTCTTCTCTTTCCTCTTCTTCTCTCTCTCCTTCCCCTTCTTCCTCTGCTCTCTCTCTTTCCTCCTCCTTTCTAGCCTCCTCTCATCCGTCTCACTCCCACTACTCTCCGACGTGGTCTCGTCTTCCTCCTCGTCCTCCTCTCCGTCATCATCGCTCCCTCTCTTCCTCTTCTTCTTTTTCCTCGACTTGCTCCCTTCCTTATCTCTCCTTTTCTCTCTTCGCGCTCGTTTCCTCTCCCTCCTCTCCTCCTCGCTATCTTCCGAACTCTCATCATCACTCTCACTCCCACTCTCACTTTCACTCTCACTCTCACTTTCGCTACTAGAATCTTTCCTTCGCCGCTTCCCCTTTCCCTTCCCCTTCTCCTTCCCCTTCTCGTGACGCCCGCTGCTCTTCTCCTTCTCTTTCTCCTTCTCCTTCCCCTTCCCCTTCCTCTTCCCCTTCTCCTGATCCTCCTTCTCCTTACCCCCACTCCCATCACTCTCCGATCCCCCCCATTCATCACTCTCCTGTCTCGTCTTCTTCCTCTCCTCTTCCTCCTTCGCATCTGCATCCTCACCTTCTGGCCCTTTCCCCTTCCTTTCACGGTTCCTAATCTCCTTACTCCTTCCTCTCTCCCTTTCCCTATCCCGCTTGTTCGAATCCGGATGCCGACTTTCCCCTTTCACTCCTCGTTCCCTTAATTTCTCATCGTCCTCCTTTCCTCGGCTGTCCCGTGCGCCTTCGCGACTTCGCCTTCCTTTTTTGCCCTCCATCTCGTCCTCGTCAGATCCCATGACGGTTCGGTTGTAGCGCAAAGAAATTCGCCTGTTAAAACCACAAATATGTTAAATTATTCAAACCGGGGACAGAAGCTACTAGACAGTGGAAAGCGCCTTGAATAATTGTTCATCTTAGGGTTTACAGACAATCTGGACTCTAGCGACTTGGGCTGGAGGGGGACAAACTTGAGCCACCGCAGCAGCTTTGACCCAACATTGTACTCGATACAGAGCAAGCTTTCGGTTTGATGACAATGAGCAGAATGTAGCAAGCAGCAATAAAGATCTGTCCTATATTCTTGACTGTGCTTTGTCTGTCCATCAGACCAGCTCAGCTTGCACTTTTCACTGACACAAAGGATTCCCCCCGCCAACTGTAATTGTCTCCAGCCAATAAAATGCAGGAATTTGCTGCAAACAAAAAGTGATTCGTGACACATCTGAAGAATTTGGGATTCGCGATTCGCTACAGATTCGGTGACGACATTCGTCGATGCCAGCGAGCTAATGCGAACACTCGCATCTTCGTGGGCCTCATCCAAACCCAGTCCACATGCCAGCACCACTGCCACGTGTTCCACATCCCACTGATCACGGTAATCAATGTGTGTGGCTTGGCTTGAAAAATCCACGGCTGGAATGTTTGCCCCCTCGTCAACATCGATGTGTCCGTTGTCATGACACGCTTTTCGTCCCTTCCTCTGGTCCAGTGCCTCCTCTTCTCTTCTCTTTCCACGCCCATCACACTCCCTGCAAGTCCCACCCATAACCATGTCAGGTCTGGTCTGGTCGTCCTCGAGATTTCCATCTTGGGACCTCCATTTTTTTCCCCTTCCAAGCAACCATTTTTTCCATGTAAGTTCTCAGTCTGTCCTAGAAATAGGAATGAGCAGGCTCCAACACAAGCAGTCTAAGAACCTTAGCTGGTTAGCTTAGTCTACGACCTTAGCTTAGCCTGCCGTCAGTAGTTTTTTTTCATTCAGCAAGCCTGGGTCATTATTCGAAGTTGAAGGCACTTCTCTCACGTTATTTTTTACAGCTTGTCTACTGCGTGTAACCTTTTGACTAGCTCAGAACCTTTCAACTAGAGACAGAACTTTCTTGTTAGAAACATCTCATCCAGGCGAAATCAAGATGGATTCCTCCGAACCTTCACAGCACCGGATTTCAGCAGAACCGAATCTCATGACGCTGGCTTCCATTTCGCTCAGTCTCAACTCCAACCTTTTCTCCCAGCACACTGCATTAACGGCTGGTTACCTGGACACGAGCAAGGACAGTACGAGTCGGGCTGACGACAACAGGAATCTTCCTTCAGCAATCAAGCGTTCAGCCTCGAGAACGTCAGACGAGCTTTTGTATTTTGACGATGTTCGTGACGACATTCGTCAACCTCAGCCACTGGTCGTGGCAAAGGGAGGGCTTACGGACGGTCACCTGTTGGGAGCGTCCAACAAGAATGCTGGGAGCTTGGTGACGATGTCAGCGGGAGGCAATGCTGGCGGACTCGGGCGAATGCTGAACGATCTTTTTCGCAGCAACCGCGGAATCACCCCCTTGGGTCAGTATGGTTGATGTATCTATCCCTCGTTCGCTGGAATCCAGAAGAGCTCCCTTTCGCTTCTTCATCGTCCAAGGGTGCAGTTTGATCCCTACCTTTGTTCTCAGGTGCACAGCCTTCTCTATGTGCCTCTTCCTCATGTCTCTTCCGCAACAGGTTATCGCCGCGGCCGCGGATCAATCCAAAATTGGCGGCATGGGCGGTATGAACCCGCCAAGAATGACGTGGAGCACGCGGCGACGGCAATAACGGAGCCGGAGAAGAAAGTGGCGGACGCTGAGCGCAAGAAGCGCGTGCTCATTCTCATGAGCGACACGGGTGGAGGCCACCGCGCCAGTGCTGAGGCGATCAAGTCGACCTTCGAGCTAGAATACGGAGATAAGTACGAGGTGAGTCGGGCATAGAACCACGAGCAGCCGTTATTGTGTCTGAATTTTGTATGCAACGAGCGGAAACGAGATTGTTACGTCTGCTAGTTTGATCAAGTCCACATGGCTTGTGCACTTATGAGGAGGATACGTAAGAGGTGCGTCGCTTTTGCCTTGCGACTGGAAGCACTTGTGAAAGCGTTCCCCTTTTCTCTCTGTTTCCTCTGTTTTCTCTTCCAGGTGACCATCATCGACCTGTGGAAGGAGCACACGCCATGGCCCTTCAACCAGATGCCCAAGAGCTACAGCTTCCTCGTGCGCCACGAGACGCTGTGGAAGGTGGCTTTTTACGCCACTAAGCCCAAGTTCGTGCACCAACCGCAGATGGCTGCGACCTCCGCGTTCGTTGCGAGGTGAGAGTGGAGAGGGATTGGAATGTTATGTTACTCGCTCCTCAAGAGCAGAAACGACAGACCTGGAACGCTGCAAAGCACACGAACATGTTTTTCGTGCGCCACGAGATGTTCTCTGGAAGGTGGCGTTTTATGACACCAAGGCGAAGTTTGGCTAACCACGAATCAAAATATCACCTTTCTTAGGCTATAAGATGCTGTTTGCCTATCTTGGGCGAGTTTCTCCCACCCAGCACAAGCTAAAGAACTACTTGGGTTGCAATGAATTGGCCTTGGCGTGCAAAATCCATGATTGAACCATTAGGTACGTATCCTGCAAAGACTGCGGTCCAGTATCCTCTCTTTGATGTCGAAGCTATCTGTCCGCAGCCTTCAATGTATCAACTTCCTTCTCCCATGGCATCCCGCGCCCTCCCTGCCCCTCTTCCCCCCTCTTCCCTCTCCGCGCTTCATCAGGGAGGTATCCAAGGGACTGGACAAGTACAAGCCGGACGTGATAGTGAGCGTGCACCCGCTCATGCAGCACATCCATCTACGTGCTGCGCTTCCTGCCTCTCAACCCTCGATGTATCAACCCCCGCTCCACCATGTGTCAACTCTTCCCCTCTTACCCCCTCTGTCACATTCCATCAGGGAGGTATCGAAGGGGCTGGACAAGTACAAGCCGGACGTGATAGTGAGCGTGCATCCGCTCATGCAGCACATCCCTCTGCGCGTGCTGCGCTCACGGGGCCTGCTGCACCGCATCCCCTTCACCACCGTTGTCACCGACCTCACCACATGCCACCCCACCTGGTGAGACACTAAGCTTCTTGACTGGAGGCACTTTTGGCGTTCCAGAATGTGAAAACACTGGAGAATCTCAAATAGTAACTTCCCACCACATTGTAACTTCACCGCCATTGTCGCCAAGCTCACCCCATGTGGTATGTTTCTTGATGCTTGCCTGGCTTGAGCCTTACACATATTGGCGATAAACTGAACACCAGAGGAGACTCGGACTTTGAGTGTCCTACAAGTGGCTTCCTGCTTCATCTTGTACTCTTGGGCCTGCCTTACCATCTGATTAGGTCACCCTCTCATGGTTCATGGGAATGATAACCCACACTTGAAGCTCTGAAAGCCTTTTTCTTCACCACCACCGTCCACCAGGTTCCACCGCCTGGTGACAGTGTGCTTCTGTCCCACCAAGGGCGTAGCTCGCCATGAATCCCATGCATAACGAACCTGATAACCCAAACAAGTGCTCACTGTATGCCTCCGCTCTACCATCTTCCACCAGGTTCCACCACCTGGTGACAGTGTGCTTCTGTCCCACCAAGGGCGTGGCTCTCCATGAGTCCCATGCATAACGAACCTGATAGCCCAAACAACTCCTCACCGTGTGCCTCTACTCTTCCACCGTCCTCCAGGTTCCACCGCCTGGTGACAGTGTGCTTCTGTCCCACCAAGGACGTGGCTCTCCATGAGTCCCATGCATAACGAACCTGATAGCCCAAACAACTCCTCACCGTGTGCCTCTACTCTTCCACCGTCCTCCAGGTTCCACCGCCTGGTGACAGTGTGCTTCTGTCCCACCAAGGGCGTGGCTCTCCATGAGTCCCATGCATAACGAACCTGATAGCCCAAACAACTCCTCACCGTGTGCCTCTACTCTTCCACCGTCCTCCAGGTTCCACCGCCTGGTGACAGTGTGCTTCTGTCCCACCAAGGACGTGGCTCTCCATGAGTCCCATGCATAACGAACCTGATAGCCCAAACAACTCCTCACCGTGTGCCTCTACTCTTCCACCGTCCTCCAGGTTCCACCGCCTGGTGACAGTGTGCTTCTGTCCCACCAAGGACGTGGCTCTCCATGAGTCCCATGCATAACGAACCTGATAGCCCAAACAACTCCTCACCGTGTGCCTCTACTCTTCCACCGTCCTCCAGGTTCCACCGCCTGGTGACAGTGTGCTTCTGTCCCACCAAGGACGTGGCTCTCCATGAGTCCCATGCATAACGAACCTGATAGCCCAAACAACTCCTCACCGTGTGCCTCTACTCTTCCACCGTCCTCCAGGTTCCACCGCCTGGTGACGGTGTGCTTCTGCCCCACCAAGGACGTGGCTCAACGAGCTCTCAAGGCAGGCCTGCAGCCGCCTCAGATCAGGATACACGGGCTGCCCATCCGACCAGCCTTCGCCAAGCCCTCAGCTCCCAAGGTATATTGGAATCACTTCTGAGAATTTTCAAAAGCTCTCAAGGTCGGCCTGCAGCCGCCTCAGATCAGAGTACACAGGCTGCCCATCCGACCAGCATCTGCCAAGCCCTCAGCTCCCAAGGTAGATTGGAATCACTTCTGAGAATTCCCAACGAGCTCTCAAGGCGGGCCTGAAGCCGCCTCAGATCAGGATACACGGGCTGCCCATCCGACCAGCCTTCGCCAAGCCCTCAGCTCCCAAGGTGCTCCTTCTACCTCTGGTGGTTATCCCACTTCCGGCATTCTTCCCCCTTTCTCCCCCCCCTCCCCCACCCACCATGTTCCATCACCTTTCCCCTGCACCCTGCCGCGCTGCATGCTCCCTTCGTCTGAGATGCTATGGCTTTCCTCTCCCTCCTTTGCAAACCTCCACTCCACCCAATCCGTCTTTGTGCCCCACCCGCACAACC